TGTATGGTCTTTTTAATTGGATAAAACTGCACGGTACTTCATACCAGACTCCCCCTGCCACCCCAACCCCATGGTCTATGGTCTTTCCTTCAGAAGCCCAGGTCCTTAACCACTGATCCCCAGTGTGTGAGGCCTGAGTTAATGTGCCCCACTGACACTGCAAGTTCATTGTTATAAACTGCGTACGTCACTTAGTAACCTTAGTAACGGTAACAGGGCACTTAGGAATAGCAATAAGGTTGACGGATGTCCTAATTGGACTTCGGGGTGATTATTTATTTATGTATGAACACTGAGAGTTAAATCACACTTTGCGCTACCCCATAATAAAGCTAGGCACTGCACTGGTAGATGGTTTCTGAGAAGTTATTAAACATTTTGTTATATTAAGTCACACAGCCGAAGCTCACTGACCAGATCCAGTTTTGTTTCTTGTTATTCTCTGATGCAAGCAACTCTGTGGCCAGATCCTTTTTTAGTCTCTTTATGTTCTGAATACAATCTATCTAATGTACCCTCGGGATCATAAAGGTGGATCGAGGTTGTTATAAGGGAGTGTAATCACAGTGTAGTCATGTCTTTCTCATGTCCTCCAGTTGTTTTTTTTTTATGGAATTAGGTCTGCAGTATTTGTATAGCAAGGAGCCTTTTTAAAGCACATTTACAATATGCGAGTAAAATATTCTGAGGAAGAACAATGTTTATAGCATTTGGGAAAAAAGGAAAAGTGGAGTAGAGATGAAAATATTAACAGGTGTTTTTTTCTGCAATTATTTGGGAGATGAAGGTCTTTCAATGGACATCTCAATTTTTTTATACCATAACAATATATTTCACTGCATTTGTGCACAAAGTAACTCACCTGATGAAGCAGCTAGCCTGTGCACCAGAACATCCTTGATGTTATGGACTTGAGCAGCGTAACCTCTGTGTGAAATGTCTCTGGGATTCTGTTCCCATGGCTTTGCTGTTCCACATTCAACGTGCTATAAGACTTCAAGACAGGGAAAGAAGCCAGGCCAAATCATGAGAAAAAAAGATAATTTCTGTCTGTTAGTGGAGCAATTAGACTTAAAACCTGGTTATATGGATATTGTTACGGATATTCACCACTTAGTGTCCATCCGCAGTGTTCCATAAAAGTGCACAGTTGTGCACATAAAAAAAAAAAAAACACGCCATATTAACTAAATACTAAAATTTTGGACTCATCAAACTATTATATTGAAACACTTAAATGAAATGCATGTCAATATTCATAGTGACAAACAATATAAAACACACCCAATAATTTTCTTTTTGATTTTCTTAATATAGGTCTCAGTAACAGTTGTTTTGGTTTTGAGATTGGGGTATTGATCATCTTGTGTTCTCAAATTAACTTGCCGCTCTCTCAAAATTAATAGTTTTGAACACACCAGCAGTTCTTTGATTTGTGCTGATATGGGGAAATCATCCTGGAACACCTTGAGCGGACGTAAGTGAGTGTAGCACTGGGCCAAAGGAATGCAACTTGAAAAAAAAACAAGAGGTGTTCTTCGTTATCTTGTCATTCTTAGGGCTTTAGGAAAATGCCAAAATAAAATATATGTGGAAATGTCGGTGTGAGAGTAGTGCAAAGCATTAGAAACACTCAAGAGAATGATGCATGATCTACTCACTGTGGAATCTCACATATTAATTTGGGCCACAAACATACATCCATTCTGTTTAACCTAGGGTCACTATGGGCCTGGAGCCTATCCCAGGAAACAGAAAACACCCTGAAGTGAATGCCCGTCCTTGGCAGGGCAAACACCTACACCCTATGAAAATTAAGAGATCCACTTGATCTAACTGCATGTCTTTCTTTGGGTTGTGGGAGGAAACTGGAGTACCTGGAGGAAAACCGCACAACACAGGAAGAACACACTAACTCCACACAAATGGAGCGGGGATAGGGCTAGGACTCAAACCTGCAGCTTGAGGCCACAGGTTACCCCACTGTTGTAGTGCTTAAACAATAATATGTTGAAAAAGCATGATGTTCAGGATATGACAATATGAATTACATTAAAAAGAAATCAAACTCATTGTATTGCTTAACTGAACATCACGGAGGATTCACGTCCCTAGGTAACAATACTTTAACAATACACTGTAAAAATGACATTGAACCACTGAACTGAGGATGTTCACACTAATTTCATAAAAAAATTACATTTCTTTTGAGACAGTCTGTTCAAAAGCAATATCTACATTTGCATCGCTACACCCAGACTGGGATCTTATTTTCTAAACAGAAAAAGTAATCAGCTGAATCTGGTTGTTACCCCATTCCTCTTCAATTTCAGATAGTAGCTTGCGCTTTTAACTCTCAAAAAAGTGGTGAACTATAATACTCTTTATACCAACATACGAAAAATAAAATTTATTAAAGCAGAAAGTCAAATCATATCTTCTATATTAGTAAATGGAGTGACTACCTTGCATGTTATAATCACGACAGCACCAGGGCATATCAAAAACACAAGGGGATGAGGGCAGGCAAGAACAGAACAAAGAACAGAAAATGAAATTGAGAAGCAGTCATATTAACACATACCCAACATTCACAAACTGCCATTGAATGAATTAAACAACAGGAAAGTCACAACGCGTCGGAATAATCAAGAAAATCATGCCATAAAGGCAATTGCATTAAAATTTTACCATCATACTGAGAACTGACACAGCGTGGTGTCACAAATAAAAATACTTTGCGAAAAAGATGTCATGATTACAAAAAAAGAAAACTGTCTAAGCTCAATTTAAATTCTAGTTAATTACAAAATGACTTGATTCAAGGAGCCCAATAAATTAGCACTACTCCAACTGGAGGTAATTAGGCTATTTATAAAGACCAATTAAAATTTCCTGAAGGCACATGTCTGCAGAATGAAACATTCCTCATACATGAAAATATCATATTAACACCTGATATTTTATTAGAGGAATTACACGATAAAATGTTTTCAATGAGTACTCTTTAAGTAACAGAGAATAACTATGTAGTATAGCAATGACGACTGTTTTATAACACCATGAGTGGTTTTGCTTGTGAAACAAGCTGCTTTCTGTTTTTACAAACAAACATTTCCATTACCATGGGGAAAATCAAATGCCTGGAACAGAAAAAGCTAACAAGACCTTTGACAGGAAGGTGGAGCAGCGTTTGTAGAGATTGTCTGGGGCTTGGGGCCATCTTGTTTGGCCATCCAGAGAAACACCTTGACACAAGTGTATTTTTACACATATTGACAAAATATTGTTACACAAAACATGAAAACATATGAATAAAACATGTGTACCTGGACACAGTATTTATTCATTGGCAAGGCATGCGTTGACCAGAAACTGGTCAATTTTATCTGAAGCCTATAGCAGATGGCATCAAACCAGCCATGGTATTAAGCTTAGGTTCTGAGTCTCCATGTTGAACATGTGAAAAATAAAAGCTCAACTTCAGTGTAATGCCTCTGAGAAAAGTACCAGATGGATGATAAACCCGGGGCTACCTTTAAACACATCCATTAAATAAGGTATTCTGATCATACTTCATACTCATGAGTGTCTGTTTGACAAGAAAGGCATAGGAGCTTTTCAGGAGGTAAAAGGAGTTTTAATTAGCAGGAGGACTGTGAGAAGACTAGAAATGTGTTTGCTCACCGTGTCCTAGAGCACAGTACACTCTGGCAGGAAGACTTGTGTCCACTTTGAATTGTTCTATTGCGCAGAGCTTGTCCTCCATTCACCCTCTGCCGTGAACTTGTGTCAGTTTGCGAAGGCTCTGTGGGCCCATGTGATAATAATGTGAGGAGAGGTACCTCAGAGTCGGTTGGTGAAGTGACTGCTCCTTTTGGGATACCTACCACTTAAGCTCATTAGAGCGCCCTCATGCAGGTAGGAATGCAGCTCATGTATTCTGGGGAGAGCAAGGGAGCCAGATCAGGGTAGCGGCGTAGGTGTCAACGCTGTGAATATCTGCTGCGTAGCTACTGTTTGTGCAGTGTCAGATGAGACATTCAAAACATCTATCCCTCTATCCATGTTCCATAACTGCTCATTTAGTACAGAATCACAGTGAGTCTAAGGCCTATCCAAGGAAGAACAGGACACAGGACACCCTGAATGAGTTCTTAACATTCACAGAAAAGCAAACAAAATGATCACTTGTAAATTTGAAATCATAATTGTGAGGAGGCGAATATTATATTAAAAAATCATGTAAAGCACATTCTCTGATTCTGCGACTTACAGCCCTCAGAATTCGGCGCAATTTCATTTTCTATTCAGATACAGTAGAGCTGCTAAATATTTTACAAGCTCGACAGCTAATGCTAATCACTCGAAACAATTAAAATGCAACACAAATACCAAGAAAGGTGAGGGTATCCGAGAAAAGGGCTGCATCCTAAACCAGATGAATTGTAATGGAGATCCTGGCTCGATGACAAGCATTCAGTTTCGCGAACCTCAGCAGCGCAATTGTATATTGAAAAAAATTATATATACATAATATAATTATTTGAAAGCATTGCTCACCATTTTTAATACAAAAACTACCCCTCGCTACCACCACTAACAGCCAGTTTCTGAGATAGAGAAATGTTTACTGAGATACAAATCAGATATATAATGGTTTGCATGCCCTCTGGATGCTGAGCAGTGAGGCGTCCTCCCGGGGACCGTTTTCTTAGTTTATTGTAGCGTGCGTGCAGCGCAATGTCTTAACAAACTTTCCACTAAGGGAATTAGCGCTCCAGGACTTCGGCGGCTCCTCTGAGATTACTCTGCCCATTAGATAAGGTGGACATTAGACAACTGACACCTTCACACCGAAAAATAACTGCGGTGTGTGATTATTCCGCGTATAAAATCACCGCTGTAGGACAACTAAAGACGGCGGCTACCGAATCCACGGAGATTAGACGCGGTGGCCGCCCGGGGAAGCGGGGCGCGTGACGGCGCGCGCCCAATCGCGCGCTTTTTTATTTAACTGTGAATCACCGAGTGTTACCGCGGATAATCTGAATTGCATAATTCATAACACCAAAGGGTTCATTTCTACGTGACGCCACGCTGCGTTTTAAACAGGGGGAAACACAATGAAGCGTGTCACGGTCTCATTTATACGCTCTTCGCTTTAGGGAAATATCAGAAACAATCGCGGTTAAATGTAATCTTTAAATCTCGTTCGGTTAAACGAGAACACTGGCGCAAGATTTATGAAGTGGCGCGGATATTGCCATTGCCAACTCTTTTAAACTCCAAGCTTCCTAATGGGATTAGCGTCACATTCACTTGTTGCGTGAGATAAAATATTTTAATTTCGTGAGGATTTTCCGCAAGAAAAAAAACGTGGTCTGGGACGCTAGTCATTAAAGTCATTACCTGGCCCTTTGTTGAATAGGAACTTGGCTAAGGACTACTGAGGAGGGAAAGTTGGCATCAACTCATCATCAGGGATCCCTTAAACCACATACGGAATCAGCTGTTCCAGGTAGCTATAAACATCAGTTCATCTTAAAGACCCATCATGGGATGACTTAAGTGTGACCCTCACTATGGCCTGTCATGTGATCTTCAGTGTGTCCAGTGACTGTTGGCTGCAAAGACCATGAGTCAGAGGAATAGCATTCCCCGGCTGACATGTGGTGCTGCCTGGCTGCTTGGTTGAACTCACAGGTCTGACACTGGAGACAGGTGAGCATCAGACAGGATTGGTGATAACTACACTGGTGGAAAGGTGGCGTAATTTAAAAAAAAAACACTCAACCACTTGTTAATGACTAAAGTAATTAAGTGTAGGTAATCCAGGGATTCTACGCACTCTAGAGGGCAATTCAATAAAATTTACTAGAGCAGCTGGTTAGCATTACGACATAAGTCATCTTAATCCTCTTTGAAAAAATGACTGCTGCCAGCGATCGGAAGGAGGTGCTCCTCCTCCTCTCAGAGGGACAGGGATCTGGGGGGACAGACTGCACCCCTCAGAACCTCCGGATTAAAGTGATAAATTGGGTCCAGCTGTGCGTCGGGGGGTGTGGCCCCGGGGCCTTGTCCTTCCACCATCTTCCTGCTATGCCATTTCCGCATGTGAGGCCTGAGCCCACAGGAGCTCAGCAGAATCACTGTTTATGGTTCTGACACCCCCTCCTCACCCCCCATTGCTGAAGCCAACAAATCAAAATCTCTGTGACATTCAAACAACACAATGTGTGAAATGTGTGTTTTGCCCATGATTGCGAGGCTGCTCCAGTTTCCACGTACCATCTAAGAACATACGGTCAGGCGAATTGGTGTCTCTAAGCAGCTCTTAATGTGTTTCTGTGTGTGTGAATGGCATCTAGCCCAGGGTGTCCCCTGTCCTGTTCCCTTGTTTCAGGCAGAGTCTCCAAGGCTCATCATGACCCTCTACGGGATAAGCAGTTATGGAACACGGATGGATGGATGGTAAAGGTTTAAATCTGGGTATGGTATGTACAAGATAAAAGGCTGTGAATTAGAGAGTGTGAAAGCTACTCTGAATAAAAGGCCCCACTGATCAGCTGTTTAATGAGCCCTTAATGGAGTGTGAATATACCTAGAGTAAGCATAACGTGGACATTATTTCAGATGGGATTTTAAGTGGTGACATAGCAGGATAATAATGAACTATCACAAGTTAGGCTTTCAGCAAGTCTCCAGCCCTTCGCTACCTTAAAGGCTGACAGCATCTTTTCAGGGTGGGGGTGGTGATGTGTATCAGTCTTTCTGCAGTAGACTTTGACACAGAGCCAACATGTGACCCCCTAAGTTGGGGGTCATGTGAAGGGAGGTGGGACATTGCAACCTGCGTTCGAAGTAGATACTGCGCCCGCATACCGGATTATGTAACTGTTATCAGTAGGCGATATGGTCCGACAGCGTTAGCACAGCCGCATTCTCCCCTTTGTACTGGGAATGAGCTGGGCATTGCGATTAGGCTTCCCTGAAGGACATGGTCCTATCTGTAACTTCTGCAATGCAGATGTACCTTAAAGGTGCTGTCTCACACACTGTGATGGAGTCCCACACCGTGATGTCACACACGGACCTTTCGGCTCAAACAAAACAACCCTGTGCTGGATAAGAGGTTAAGGCAAATGGATCAAAGAAGAAACTTACAGAGATATACTTTCCAAAAAACATTCCTGCAAAAAACAAACGTCGCAAAATTCGGGGTCACATAATAACTGCTAAAGACATGTCAAAAATTATGTAATGAATTATACTATAATATCATAATCTAAATATATTTATAGAACATATTACCTCTCAGAATGTTGTCCCAAACTGAATTACATCGCAGACCACAGACCAGGAGACTTCTTCATGGATGCTGCTAGAACACTTTCATCTTGTTGGGAGAAATGAAGCCATTTAAAACAAACTCAGCACCAGTACTCTCTCGTATTTCAGTAGAAATGAGACATGAAACACGCACGTCTGTGCTGCACCCACACTCGCCACGCTGGCGTTCACATTCATAAACACACGTGTGCCTGACAGGAAATGCTCGTGTGTGTCTCTCTCAAATGAGGCCTGATGGCACCATTAGCCTGTCATACGGGCTCATGCTTTTAAAATAACTTTTATACATTTCGATTGCTCAAAATTATAAGCCTCCAGTTTTTATCCATGTCTTCTTCAGTTGCTATGGTTTTTTTCATTCTAAAGTTCCTCCTCTCACCATTACGACACCTCTTTGCATGTGGTCTTCTATCTCACAGATGATTTCAGTGAATAATATATGACTCAATTACAGCTATATATATGTATATATATTTTTTATTCATTTATTTATGTAAAATTTGTATACTTCACCTACAGAATAGCATAAACATATGACTTTGTAAATCCAGCAGCATCTAAAGTATTTATCCACCATGACAACCAATTTTGTGCTGAATACTAGATGTTACAGGCTACAGGAGGGTGGTTCATCCTGACTGGACACACTGTTAGAAGACAAAACAGAGGGTGACCGTCCAGTTGGTGAGGAGACCTATAACGTGCCCAGCGGGTTTTAACCAATGAGGAGGGGAGGCACATAACACCTCCTAGATCTGGATTCGCTGTAGTCTTTATGGCACAATGGCCTGCCTCCAACTGTGAGGCGGCATTCACCTCGCTACTCAGTCCGTTTAAAAGGTAAAAAAAAAAAACGTGGCTGTAATCTTCCTTTCCATTATCTTTGAGCCGGGCTTTTCTGCCCTCTGAGAAATAAATCAATGAGAATGGACTGTGGATTATTTCTCAATGGTGGAAAAACTAACAACCCTATTGGTTAAGGCAGTAATCCTTAATATCTCGCAATCTCTCCGAGACCTAATTAGAGATGACAACCTCATTCTCTCGGATATCACGTTAGCTTGGCGACAGTCCTAAACCGCGTGCTGGAGATTATACGCCAAGATAAGGGGGCCGGCCTGGACTCCAATATCACATGAAGGGGAAAATGTTTAGGAAAAATGAATTTAATCAGAGGCGATTTAATCGTGCCGCCCAGCGTGCAGGTGAATTCCCGTTGAAGGCGAATGAAGTGCTATTTGCCGCATAATCGGAGTCTCGCAGCTCTCTGGCTGCAGAGAAGGGTATCGCAAGAAAAGTGTGTGGGGTCTTTGCTGGGAGGAAATGCAACCCAGAATTGAGGCTGGGGCTGCTTGGGGATGATGGTCAGATCAGGCGACATGTTGATAAATGTCTTTCCAGTGTGTAGATGTCCTGCTGACAATAACTCAAGGTCTTTTTCTTGCTACTGTAGTGAGATAGGTCTTGATGAAGAATTTTAAAAATCCCCCAAACCAAACAGGTTGTTTTTTTTCATGGGCGTGGTCTTTGATTCCAGGCTGGGAGCTGGGTTTTCTTTTTAGGAGATAGGGATGACAGGAACTGGGTTTCTATTGTGCAACTCCTGCATGGTGTATTCTGAAATCCCCCGCAGTCATGTGGCTGGGGTCCCAAGGTGAAGCGGCAAGAGGGACTGAACCCTGACCTCCCCTTGCCCCACTCCCTATGTTAATTAGGATAATCTGGCCTAGATTACATAATCACTCCCGCTGAAGCAGAACCCAACGCCCCCCCTGTTTTCTTTCAAGCCACAATCTGCCAGTCTCTGTTCACCACTGCAAGAGTTCCCGCTGCATGCCAGGATGCAGGAGCTATGAAAGGATGCTGTTCCAAATAAGAGTGACCTTGCCCGACACAGTAAAACAGCACTCATCCCTACCCAACAATACTGTAATTGTTATGGTACCAATTTAAGATTCTGCTCGATTTTTAGTCAGGCATATAATGACCGCATTGATGAGGAAGGTCACATTTTGCCAGTGTGCCGGCAGTGTCTGATTCTTCAAAAATAAAGCCTGCTTGTGGAAAAATGCCTCCCTTTCATTTGGGGTCCTGTTTGTCCATGAACTTCCTGGAACTAGCAGTAAGAAGTGACACTGTCAGTCAGTGTTCTGAGTTCAAGGAGATTCTCAAAACAAAAACAAAAGAAAACTTGCTAATTTACTTGAAAATTGACAAATAAGGGCGTGGACAGCACTATGGCTCTGTGAGTAGGACTGCTGTCTTCATTTCCTCTGATGTCTCTAAGTTATCCCAACTGTATGTATGTCAGTGTGAGTCCCAGATGCACTGTCATTCTGCCTGTGGTGTCCACAGCCCTATGTTTCCCAGGATAGACTCCAGGCTCACTGCGACCCTAAACTAGATAAGCAGTCCTGACTTTTTATGAAAAATATATTTCCCCAAAACCAACCCACAAATGCAAAAATGTCAAAACATGTTATTATGCACCAGCGAGCACTTTAAGTAGATACTGATGGTGAGGCGAGTACATCACATGTAACTGTAGTTATAATTTTTTCAATGTACTCATAGCAGCTGCAACTGTGTGACATACAGTGCTTGCGTGTCTCCCCTGAATGAATGCGTCTGCCAAATTAAGTCAAAATAACCACCCTTTTCTGCCCTATCACTCTGCTGTGCTCATCCCTGACTTCTCTGCCCCTTCTGTCGTCATGGCAAACCGTAGAGCAGTCGCACATTATAAAAATGACATATCTCGCTGAGGAGTAATTAGTTGCTAAACTAGGAGACCTCCCTAACTCCACAGCGACTGTGAACAGGCTTCTTAGTGTGTTTGGGTGCTTTCATGAGTGTCTTAGCGTGGTAGTGATAGGCTGCGTCCTGATTTAACGTCTATGTCGATGTACATAAACATGACCCTGTTACTGCCACAGGAACAGAACAACGTTGGGGGCTGAAGTGGATCCAATCGGACTGTATTTAAGCAGAAGTCATATAAACCTTATCATTACTCTTGGCAAATGACCCTGGTTTGTGATTGTCTGTTCTTGTGGCCAATAGATGGCCTGTTGGGTGGAAATTGTTGGTGGGTTTGGGACCCATCTCCCTTCCATCCTTGAGTACTTTCATGGGGATCTTAACAAACAGTGATACAGGTAGAGGGAGCAGTCAGTTCCAAGCTCTCGTACCCCTCCATGGCCAGAAATCCATCTCAGACAGGTCACTGCTCCTCTGTGGCTTGATTGGCCCCTCCCTCTCTGCATGTCCCTCACATGCACACACACATATCCATTTGCTGCTACGGTGGGATGCTTCATTCTGTGCAGAGTGCTTTTGTCTCTATACACCGGCCCAGCGTGTGATTTGTAGACGTATGAATAAATAAACAGATGGAAATGACCGCAGTCGGCTTTGGACTCCGCTATTTCTGAAGTGTGAAAGCATGACCGGGCTGCACAGAGGCTTACAAATACGTCTCTCGCTTCTTCCTACTTCTGTGGACGGGCTCGGCTTAGCAACCCGGGGTAAACTGTCTGCCGGTCTAGAGAAAGGGTCACTAAGGCGGGCCCAGACCTGGCCTGCAATTAACCTCGGTTTAAACAGGCATGTCCCTGACCCTAAGCTGAGATCGGTCAAATGCAAGGAGTGGAGGCCCAACTGGTGAGATTAGGAATGAAGGGTCCTCCTCCTTTTCAAGACAATCTGTTCATTCATTCAGTGAGATTTTTGCATTGCACTTTCTCTGTAATGCGACACCCTGAGGCAGATGCCAGAGGCAAACAAATGCGGTGAATCATCGAACAAACGACGACGCATTCCCGCCATTTCCCAATCGGGGAAAATAGGGAGCCTTGCACGATATTTTTGTTAAAAATTACAAAATTTCACGTATGACAAAAAAACTGTGACGTTGAGTTTGAGAAGATTTCAGACAAACTCATGATTAGTACGTGTCACTAAAATGGACAAAGAACCCTAGATGCATCAGAATCACAGATGCTTTGATGTCCAAATATATAATTTTAACAGCTAGCTTCCACAGCCAGACAATTCCATAGTCTTTCTGTTTACAACTTATATATCATTTAAACTACTTTGACTTCTACATCCACGTGATTCCACGGTTGAGTTCAATTCAGATGAGCCTCCTGCATGTGCATCACTCACTGCACAATGTGCATCTTCATATTAAATTCAAAAAGTTTTATTATGAGCCATGAATGAGTTATTTTCACAGGAGCCTCTGCATTGCCTGAAGCTCCAAGCCTCATAATCTGCTGCCTTCACTGTGTTTATCCAACACAGCCACCTTCAGTAGTAAGTTATAGTCTTAAATATTCCATAGTCGCAAGTTCATCAATAATTTTGTGCAGATGCTTCTCAAAGAAGCTCTGGTGAGATCTTTTATCAGGTTGAGAGAGGTGGAGCGGGATGAAACGCACTGCAGCACCAGCCCTGAATATAAACTTCATTTCCCAGAGGGCCCAACCGGCAACTCAGCACATAAGAAGCTAGCCGATAGCTGCTAAGCTAATTAGCTGCAAGCTGCAGCACGGCCAGGCAGGTGATGCACATGAGGGCAACAGGGATGGCTGAGTAACATCTACAAAGTGACCTGCAGCCTGGGGGGATGTGCAGAGGTTCAGATGTTTGGTCCAGTTTGATGGAGCAGTTCCTCTCGCAGAGCCACATGGAGCCCACACTCCCACTCCCAGAGCAGATTAAAAGTTCTGACCTGGACGCTAGCCTAGAGTGAAACCCCTGAGGCGAGCTGGAAATTATTTCCTTTTATTCAATATTTCAGGTGCGATTCATATTTAACATCTTAAAGGCCTGGGTAATTTTCAGCAGGCTCTGTTTCTTCACCCGCTGGTTAGGAAAAGCGCTGGGAATTTGCGGGGCGGGTGAAACTGCCCGTTCCACAGACCTGACCCAGAAATTTCTCTGTGTGTTTGCCAGTGTGAGAATCCTCCTTGGAAAAAGAAGCCAGCTCCTTTTGGATGAGCGGTGATGAAGATTCTTGGTGGAATTCCCTTTTAAGGTACCCCCCATCCCCCCATCCCCGTGTGGTGTCTTTAGCTACTAGCTCATTCTGTAAATCAATGACAGTCACTAGGCAGTTTAACCCGCTCTCCGACAGAGCCTTGTCAGTCTGAGGCCTGCTTGGCGATCCCATGTCCCAGTGGTGCCCCTCAGCTCATGCCAACAACGATTGAAAAGGCGCCTCTTTCTCTCAAGGTCGGCATGCAATACATTATGGGAACCATAAATACGGCCCAGCCCTCCCTTGATTTATATCCAAATAATGGAATGGAAATAAAAGATAATATAAAATAACCTTCAATAAAATAAATCTCATTCTATTGCCCAAGTAGCCCCAGTGTTTGCACATTCGCTTTAAAAATATATATTAATAAGGTAAAGATTACATAACAGTGATGTCATGCATGTAATTGAGGGAAAGGTAACATACAGAGAGCCAGAGATGGAAATCGGACACAAAACCCTGGGGGTCTGAAGCCAGACTACTTCTCACTGAGCTACCGAGCCTCATTATGTGACAATAATGTAATAATTATAATAATAGTAGTAGCGGTCTGTGTGAGTGATTGTAATGTAATATGATGATGTAACCATAATCATAATCACATGCGGTATGCGCCATGCTGGATGTGATTATGGAAGATGGATGGATGGATAGTGATAAATGGAGATGGGCCGTGATGTAATATAGCCATGTCATGATTGTGTGACACTGCTAATGTGGCTCTTATAGAGTTTGTCCTTTGTCCTTTTATGATGGTCTAAGCTTTAGATGGCCTGTGGTCTCTGTCCACACCACTTTCGGTTTCACCCTCTGTCTTTTCTGGCCTTGCGTCTGGCTTTAGATGAATCCTCCTCCACGTTTTTTTCCATTCCTCTACACCAGATAAGACCGTGTGCTACTCTGTTAAAGCAGAGAGTAAGTGCTCTAAAATACTGTGGAATTTTCTCTGTAACTGCCATGTTTCCTTGAGTTATTCCCTCCTAAAGGTTTCATTAGTGTGATGATCTGCTCTCTTGCTGTTAAAACGCTTTCCCGCTGCCTCTCCGACTCGTACGGAAGCAGGGATTCTCACTAGAGCCACTGTCCGTGATCTCCTCTGATGTTTCCTTCGCGGGATACTCCTGCTTCTTGTGATAATCCACTAGCGTTTCCTTAGGATTATGAGACGGTCTCCGTGTTTAAGATCAAACTTGCATTTTGAGCACAGAGCAGTTTGTTAGCTAAGCATTCGGCGCTGTCACTCTAACATGTGAACGCCCCCTGTTAGCATTATTGGTATCGACCCTCCCAGGCATCCTGAATGGTCTTCAGTCTTCTTTGCCCCAGTTTTATTTTCCTTTTTAATCATGTTGCTGTGGCTGTGATTAGCTGGGTTACTCCACATTGCACTTAGGTACAATCTTCATCCATCCTACTACTATTGCCTGTTCTGTTCATGGTTCCAGAGAATCTGGAGCCTCTCTCAAGAAGCACAGGGCTTGAGACAGGGTGCGCTGCAAGGCACTCGCACAAACTAGGAGCAATTTATAGACAGCAGTTTGACTGCAAGGAGAAACTTCAGTTCAGAGAGTGAATCTGGTCAAACTTAGCACAGACAGCGGGGTTTCAAACCCTCAACCCTGGAGTTGTGCTACCCACCATGCTGCCTCTCATTTAAGTTATTAAGGAAGAAAATAATTACCCATTCTCTGTGCCCACTCCCTGCCCCTTCTTAGGGTCATCTGATCCTGGGAGCATCAACATATCTGGCTTGCAACAACATCCACATATCTGGCTTGCAACAATTTCCAGTAATCTGATCCCCAAAATGGGCATCATCTCCCTTTTCAGCAATCAGATCTCCCAACCCCGATCACTGTCCTTTTTTACGAGGCGAATGACATGCTCATAACTCACTGTGTTATTTGTGAGCGCTGATGTGTGATCGGTGAGCATTTATGCTCCCGGTTTTCCAGAAGCTTCTCTCTGTTCTGTCACTCCAAAGGGGAATGGGGAAGAAGAATGCTTCCTCTAATTTGGAAAATAAACGTATTTCCTGCTTCTAAATTTCAGTTAGGAAAATTGCTCATGGAAACACACTGTATGAATGAAATTAGACTGAGTGATATTACATAATCTTTCCACTTTACCATCCCACGCGTCACTATTAAGTAATGCATTTTATGACTGTGCTGATCTAAACAATATCCTGTTTCCACTTTGTTTTCAGTTCCGAGAAGGCTCTAAGGGAGTATTTTCTGGTATAATAAGTTACATTTCACTGTCAGGGAAAGGATACCACATAGGTGAGCTTGGCTTGACATCTGCCTCTCCGATGTACTCTGAGATACTCTGCCCTCCATTTTCTCTCACCATCCCTGAGTCGTCTGTCACATGCCTGAAACACAGCCCATGTTGGCTCCTTGAAGCCTATCAGTCATACCTGCCCGTGGCGGCTCTGATAGGAGCGCGTCTTTAATCGATAATCCGCACTCAGTGAACTGGACTCAAGGTATAACTCCCCTTTCCACCGCTTAATTGGTGTCTTGGTTAAAGTCCTCTTTCGGGAATGCCACTATCCATCATCAGGTTCTGAAGAGGATTATCTCCTTAATGCTGTCTTTTAAAATGTTTAAATGTGTTTCTCTTGATCCACTAGCGGTTTATACAATGCTCTGAGCATCTGTTTATTGCACTTGGAATAACTTTGGGCCAGGTTTAATTTAAACCAGTGAGGATTATGTATTTCATTACATTAGTAAAGCCAGTGGAGATGGTTCTTCTAGGAAAACAATCAATAGTCATTCCAAAAAGAGCTATTTAAACATTCCCTTCTAATGAACATCATGTCCGCTGCATGCAGCCTCGGTTAATTATCCCAGTGTCACTGCTGTATGCTGATATAATACTGCTTCTCTTCACTGTACAGTGAGCAACTGATGTACTTTATTTTCATTGCCCTGTGTGCTGCAATGCACTATACAGTGCCTGCTGAGACTGTGCTATGAATGTGGTACTTTTGTATTGCACTTTATATTTCACTGTATGGCACTGACTTCTGGGTCGTATTTTACGGCACTGTGCAGTGTGACTCTATAGTACTTCATTTCCCAGGATACTCTTTGCTAAAATACAAGAATAATGATGGTTGCCTCTGCCACACTGCCCACTTTGGCCAAAGGCTCTGCAGTGACCCGCCAGCATGTCCCAGAGACCCGATCGCTACGTCCAGCAGCTCCAGGCCACAGAGCCTGTGAGCAGGCATGACATTCCCAACGTCCCTCTGCGTCAGGTTGGCATAAATGAGGCCAGTCCGTTAAATGAGCAAATCTGTTCTGACTCCAGTGCTGGAGGTCCTGTCCGCACCACTCTCCTTTCCAAGGCAACCGCTGGTCAGGCCCGACCAGGCCACTGTGTACAGGGTCACGCTGATTAATGGCTGCAAGCTATATATGATTGCAGGAGAGAGATAAAGGCTAATTTATTCAGCAAATATGCTATTGCATCTGGATTTTGTCACGATGCCACCACAAAAAACCTATACATTTCAGCCCCACCATTGCAGGATCTCTCTGATCTCTCAATTGTATCATTTTAATCAATATTTCTGTTTTAAATATAGCTACAGAAGCTATGCACATTTTATTACACTTTGTATTTGAGTTTGTATATTAGTACAACCACTTGTTTTGCAACCAAGTTCTGTTTCAAAGACCAGGGTGTACAGTGAAGTGAAAATCATGGTAGCCTAGGTGTGACTATGACTGTACTTACAAATTTGCTTCAACCTTCCATACTCAATGAATTTTATCCTTCACGAAGTGGACATTTTTAACAACATTTTGTGCATTTTACTTCAATGATCTCTCTCATTGATATTGGGCGTATGAAATTTGGTTGTAAATGAGTGCATTGGTCAGAAAATGATTTTTTTATTACCATTGTATGTATGAATGGTTGCTAACCAAGGTCGTCACTAAATGAAGAGTGATTGTAATTATCAATAAACTGAGCATCCATATATCCATCAATCTCTCTTCCAATCGCTTATCCTTATAAAATGGACAGATAAATAAAAACGGTCAAATCTCATCATCCATCAGTAGCTCACATTTCACGGAGAATTCAAGCCTGTCATGATGTATGAGTGCACAGGTAAGGATTAATTGGTCATTGAACGGAAGTAAAGAACCAAAGCTTCTGGGTATGGAAACAGTCTGTCGTTCAGGGCATTTGAGAAATCACCAAGGAGAAAAAAAAAAACTTTATTTTCAAATTGTCTGCCCATATGGGTAAATAATTCCAGGGTTTTTTCCACTTAAATCTTTTTCGAAAGGTTTCTGCTGCCGGAATGTGGGAGCTGAGACCGGGGGAGGGATTATGCTGAACTGACAGGTGCCCTCGGGCGTGTTTGGGGAGTGCAAAAGCACAGGCAATTAAAATAACACGGGATGGGTGGGGGGGCACAGGCTGAGGGAGGGGGTTACACAGTTGCCGTGATCCGGAGGCTCTGACGGCGCGTAAACAGAGCCCGCGCCGCGCCCTGGGATGAAAGCCATGTAAGGGATTCCGAAAAGGAAGCCCAAGCCATCCTGAAGATAGCTCATTAGCATGCGTGTGTGTGTGGGTTATGTTTATATTAAATGGAGGGGGACCAAATGTCCCCCACAATGTAATAAAAACCTGTTTTTTTGATGTTGTGGGGACCATTTCTCAGGTCCCCACTAAGATTTCTGATGTTGAGACTATGGTTTTCCCTATGGAAATGAAAGGAGAGTCCCCTCAAAGATATAATTACAAACCTGTGTGTGTGTATGTGTGTGTGTGTGTTTTCCCCCATTTCTTGCAGATGAGGTGGCCTCAGTGATGTACATTTCTATTGTTTATTCTCTCATGTTTTCACTCGCATTTCATGAAAAAGTAAATCTGCAGCTGGCACAGCCAATCAGAAACCGGATCTCTGTAGCAGCCCCGGGTAGGGGAGCTGTCTTAGCTGGCACAGCCAATCAGAAACTGGATCTCTGTAGCAGCCCCAGGTAGGGGACCTGTCTGCACACCACATGACTGTGAAGGAGAAAAAAATACTGTCACAACGCTCATTTTCATCCAGAGATCTACAAGGAAGATTTTATTTATCCAGTGTGAGACTGCTGTTTATTTGGTTATAATTTTTTCCATTTTTACAATAAGATGAAGGTTGACAGAGTGGTACATTGGGTGGTAGTATCACCTCATACACCCAGAGTTGGGGGTTTGAATCCCACTCCCAGCTCAGTGTGGGATGCTTTCGCATGTCTCCTCATCTGCAGTTTTTCTCAAGGTCCGAAAACATCATGAACTAAGGGCTGTTTAGAGATTGTGTAAGTGCTGGACTGGTATCCTGTCCAGGATGTTTCTCCTGCATCCTGCCCTGGACTTCCTGGGATATGTTTAAGGCTCACCAGAACATCCTTCTGGAGAAGCGGTTATGGATGGATGGACAATTACATTCCTACCCCCTGCCCCCCTTCTCGATTAGGAATTATGTTTCCTTAGGGTGCCGTTACGTCCCGTCACACCA